GTTCAATTACAACATGTGGTTTTCATTACATTGTAGCTTTGCCATACCCAAGCCACTGAGCCTAATTTATTTTTTTTCCCCCACGGTGCTACAGGTCTCTCTGTCCTTTTTGTATGTTTCCACTGAAAGTATTCAGCAATTACAAAAAAATCGGACTGAGGAACTTTGTTGTTTTACCTTATTTTACTTGTTTTAAACTCCTCTAGAAAATTTGTTAGGATGCTTTGCAGTGTGCAAGTATAAAGCCAGAGATGTAGTCTCCAGTTCAAACAATTCAGTCTAATTTGGTCAAGTTGTTTGCTTTAGGGAGAAAAAAACCAACAAAACTGATCATTAAAATTTTTTATCATATTGATTGTATATTTTTTTTTACTTATTTTTATATATACAAAAATGCATATGTGTGTGGTCAGTGAATTAACCAGTTTTGATAGATTAATTCTCCTGTGATTTCTAAGCAATGATAGAGGAAATGAGCCTGTTCCAACCCTGAGCTGCAGAGGCTAAGCGCAACTTACTCGAAATAACTGCATCTGATAACAGCCCTGGCTTTGGGGCACGGAAAAAACAAGGAAATTATTATCCTTAGTACCCAGTGCTCTGCAGGCTGGACCATGAGCAAGGAGAGCGGCCATGTCCTGCCTCACGCACAGAGGAGATGGGAGAGGAGTGAGGTGGCCGAGTCATGGAAGCAGGATGAGGGCAGAAGAAAGCCTGTAAGGCTGAGCAATTTGGGGACGGGGGGTGGTGGTGTGTTGGTAGGATGAGAAGACCAGAAGTAGTGACTGCACAGGCTCAAACCCACAGGGAGAGGGGTACATGTGGGAAGGAGCAGCCACAGAGCTGGGGGTGAGGCAGCGATTAGGCAGAAGAGAGAGCAGCAGCACTTGTAGCAAAGGGCCCAGAAGGGACTTGAGAGCTGCAGTACAGGTCCCAGATCTTGTGCAATTGAGAATCTCGCCATTCATGATTGCTGGCCTAACTCCTCAACTATTGACAATATTCCAAGTCCAAAGAGCTGGTGTAAAAATTTGCAAATATTTGCATAACTGCAGAAGAAGAGTGAAGACCTAAATACAGTACTTAGTAAGAAACAGAAAACCCCAATGTTAATTATTTCTTCTTGTTTCCTCTTTTTTAAGTCTCATCATTTTGGGAGTTTAATTATTTTTTGAACAGCAGAAGGCAACAGCACTGTTGTAATCTCAAAAACACTCAGTTGACTGGTTGGGCAGTGTCTGGGAAGGAGTTGGTGGTGTGCAATTGAGGGATGCTTGGCTTTGCCCAACTCTTGCTTTGCTGCTGAAGCGAAGTGGCAAATGAAGTGGCAGCTCACAGGTGGGGACACCAGGGCCTAATGGCTACGACAACTCTGAGAAATTGGATTTTATTGCTACTGCTGTAACAAAATCCTTATGTGATGCTAAAAATCTTGTTCAGCAAAGACTAGGCAGGAGGCTGCTGTATGCTCCTCAGCTTCTGATACTCCCATCAAGACCTCTGGGTCAGGCTCAGGGAAGCTCTCACCCTGCAGAGTCACAGAGGAGGTGAGTGCAAGATGTACCCTGAGCAGGGCAGATTGCTCTGAAAGGCAGGCACCCTGGTCAGAGATACTCTGATGTGGCATCCACGCAGTATAGTTGCCATGCTAGACATCCTTATTTATAGCGGTGAGATAACATCACTTTCTCACTTTGCAGATTGCTATGAGAATTAATTTAGTGGCAACTATCATGTGCTAATATCTAAGAGCTAAAATGTTTCATACAGATATAATAGCACAGAAATGTCTCGGAGGAAATGAACAAGATCACATGCAGTACAGAGCATGCAGTAAGCTTCCTCCAAAGAAAAAAAATGTTCCTTCCTTACAAGCTACCACTGTGGGCCAGTGGGGATAAAGAGAGATATACAATAATGACAAAGAAAAGGGCAAACTTCATTATACAAAGCTTCTGATCACAAGCTCTGTTGCAGGTGAACATTTTTAAAAACGGTTTTATTACAATCTATTGCAAGAACATGAGCAGATAGTTCAAGCTGGGAGAACAACAGAGGAGTTGGGTTCATTCCAAGTATAAGGACAGCACGAAATGAGCACAAAGGTTTCCCAGATTGGCTGGAGGCAAAGGATACCAGGAAAAGCAGCAGACAGCATGCAGCAGTAGGGGAGCAGAGCTAACCACTGGGCAGAGGATGAATGGTGTAGAGCCAAGGTGAAGGAGAAGAATAGTCTTGGCTGGGAAGGTCCAGGGGGCTTGGCAGGGTTGGGGGAGAGAGCTGATACATTTGAAGCAGCAGAATGTGATGTGCAGATGCCCCAGGCTGGGGAAAAGGGGGAAAAAATGTGTGATGGAAAGTTGGAGCAAGAGCAGAATTCTTGGGGATCATTGGCAAACTATTTGTAGGAAATCTAAGGTGATCAGTCAGACTGGAGGGACACCATAGCAGCAAGTGCGCTGGAGGCACAGCTCCAGCAATGGTTGAGGCTATGGAAGCAGGTGGAGCTTCTTGTGGAGAAAATGGAAGGAAACAGATGACAGCCCAGCAGCTAGTCAAAGCTTCTCAGTTGTCAACCTGCTCACAAATTTCTGTGGCTCTCACTTCAGTGCCTTCCAGCTGATTCTACACTACTTCAAGTTAAAAATTGCCGTAGCTGCAACACAAGTGCTGTGGTTTTCCCAGCAGATTCCTTGGGTAATCCAAAAATGTATTTTCCTCTATTTCCATTAATACTGATTTAAAAGATACTTCTTCTGCCCTCTGAAGAACTAACCTGTAGCTTAGCATAAAAACCCCCATCTCACCCCCTGACATATGTGCAGCCACAGTACATTTTCTCCAGCTACTCACAAATGCTGTGTCAGGACACCACTGCAAGAAGCACGTGCGACATGACAAGCATGGTGTAATCTTATCTCGCTCCTCCAGCCACAAGGTAGAGTACACAGCTCCAGCATCCATTGCCAGAGCATCCAGCATCACACGTAGTGTGTTTAGTCTGACTTTGTACTTCCATGTATACAAGTGTTTAAGAACTGAAGAAACAAGAATAGTAAAACAATAACATAAGAGTCAAAATGTTTGAGAGAGAAGTTGTTACACAAACTGAAGTGTTACAATGTGGGCTGCCAGAGAATTTTTTTTTTTTTAAACCTACATCTTTCTTTCCAAGTGATGTTAGTATGTCTTTTGTACTTATACTGTCTTGGCTCAGTTAAATCTGCTCTTTGCTTTCCAATACAGTGTCTTTCTTGATAGCAGACACGCCTGCCGCAGGCTTCAGTCCCGAAACACGCACCCAAAAGGCAGCGATGCCCAGTCCCCCTTACCCTCTCAGCCTGCCTGCCTTCCTTGCCTCTGCTGAAGCCCAGCTGCAGCTCTCTGCTAGCTCCTCTCACTTCTTCCTTAATTTATTTCTAAGCCACTTATCTGACAGACTTACCACCCTGAAGTAAACAGTTAACCTCCCACTTCCCCACTTAAAAACAACCTTGTATTTATATACTATAAATATTTGTAACTTCCAAAAATGCCATGGGTTTGCAGAGCTGCAAATTTTTGTGACATTGGATAATGAAAATAAGCATCAACTGCAGAGGCAGGGCTCTATCAGCTCCCTGAGCTGCTGCGCTGCCGATGGAGAGCACGCAGGGATCAGCATCACTGCTCAGCCCCAGAAGCAGGGACAGAGCAAAAACCCAGCTCACTCCCGTAGTTAGTACGTCTACCTGTCTGTCAGTCCGAGTCCATGACATACGCAATGTGTAACCTGAAAAAACCAAGAGGTCCGTGCACATACCGGCCAATGACAGAGCAGGTCTCGGTGTCAGCAGCCACAGCACCGTGCAGGTAATGCTGAGGATCACACTTGGGTTGAGTCAGGATGACCACAAGTGCAACAACCACCGCCAGCACACCTAGGGTCAGCAGCACCAGACAACAGATCTTCCCCGTAGACATGTCTATTCCTACGCCGCTGGAGGCAGCTGGGAGGCTTTTACTTCTTTTGCAAAGGCGCCTGCTTTGCTCAGGGTGGAAGCAGAGGATCCTGGCAGTTTTGCGAGGGAGGTCTCACTGAAGTGGGCTCAGCCCGCTGCGACCGAGAATTACATTCTTTTTAAGATTAAAAGCTGCTAAAAAGGAAATGCTGTAGTCTTTCTTCCCTGCTCTTTTAGGTGTGAGAGGCTTTTCACTCTCTCTTTATAAAGTAAACTTTTTCTGGCATATCCACCGTATGCCTTTTTTTTTCTTTTTTTTTTTTTTTTTAAGTCTCTGATGAAAACATTTAACGCGTTCACTGCTGGAGCACTTCAAAGTGAAATCCCTACACTGCTTGCTTATTGGCTTCACACAGCCTCTCTGCCTTCACATTCTTGCCACATAGAGCAAATTACCAAACAAAGGCAACCACACTGTGAATGAATCACTGGGAAAATTACAACATTAATCTACATTGCAAACTTAGGCTATTTTCTTTCCATAAGACTACTCAAAGAAGTAAAAGCTAAATACAAAACACAAAGCTGGAACCTTCATATTTACTCTTACTTTACCTTATAATCTTGCTTATTTACTTTTTTCATCATTAAATCTTACCAGTGTCCACACTATACATCTTCCGTAAAAGAGCATAACAGAATACCTTGAATAAAACCACATGCGTCTGCACTTCTGCAGAACATTAGAGCTAAAAGCTCTGGGGTCCAGTCTCTACCAGTGAGCAACCACAGCACCCAGGAAGTGAACAGCTGCTAAATAAGACCAGACCTGATTCCTAGCTGAGCAGCAATCATAGCATGAATTGCTATGCAGTGCGGCTGGACCCAGCTATCTCTTTATAGCCTCTTAATTATAGAGTTCTCCTTGCACTTAAAAAGTTAAAGATACAGCTCCACATCTGCCTACTGTCTTTCTAAAAGATGTTATCTGTGATCCTTTTCCAGCTAGATTTGGGAGAAGGGGAAGTCACCTGTGCAGATTTACACCTGTATTTCAGTACAGACTTTGAACTTGGACCCACTAAACCTTATCTCATAGCTAAGTAATACTATTTCAGGTATCATATCTCAACAAATGGATCTGACAGACAAGACTGTCTTTTTTGCAGTTGTATCTTCCCATAAGGTTATCTTGGGGAAGTGAGACTAGTCCAAGAAAAATATATGGTTTTGTCCAAGATAAAACCATGGTCCCTGGGGAATAATTTCTTGGTCTCCACATCTCTGTCTGACTTGGCAAATATACTTGGCGTATGTAACAAGACTCCACAGCTCTAATGTGACTCTTAATTTCACCCCATTGCAAAACATTTCTGCTCTTGTAAAATTTCTCAATCCTTACATGACTTTCACGTTTCATTTTTGACAAATTACTCTATAACACTTAAAGAATCATCATTGTGGTGTTTTTTGGGAAAGCTCTTCCCTGTAAATTCATAGCAGGGCTGGAAACCCTGACCACTCAGTACCAATAGACTCAAGGCTTAAGTGGATTTTGCCCATTTGCTTTCATCAAATGCCATGGGGAATTCAACTGCAGTCTCCAAATTTCCATCAAACTTGGTTTTCAACTCAGCACATCAAACATCTGTATCTGGAAAATTACCCCTGTGCTGCAAAGGAGGAGACCTGGAAGAGGCAAGAAAGGTGAGAGAGTGTCATCTCCCAGACGATGTCTGGGAAGGCCAAGACATGGTTATGATCTATTCCAACTAACAGATGCCTCCCATAGGCAAACCCATTTGTCTTTTAGATATATAAATGAAGTCTGAGCCTCCTTCTCTCTTTCAATGTGTAACCTTTACGGTCTTGTTGGTGCAACACTCAACTTTGACCATATTATGCTACAAAGTCTGCACTGATCCTCCCATGTGAGAGACTGCTTAGCTGTTCACATGCTGGGGCTCAGGACCGTGACCTCTGTTTGTTTGTTTGTTTCTCAAAACTTTCACATTTATCATCATTTTCTGGGAGTGCAGTTTGCCTTGGCATAAATCTCCACACATAGCACTTCACTGCAAGGACTCTCTGGTCCTCTGCTGCCAGCATGATGGGCTTTGTACATTGTTGTATTGGGTCTGGCTGAGATGGAGTTAATTCTCCCCACAGCAGCCCTCATGGTGCTGTGCTGTGTATTGGTAGCTAGCAAACTGCTGATAACACACCAGTGTTTTGGCTACTACTGAGCAGTGCCAGCACACTTCAAGGCTGTCTTTCCAACATTTCTTCTTCCCCAGCAGCAGGCTGGGGGTGGGCAAGCTCTTGGGAGGGGACACAGCTAGAACAGCTGACCCAAACTGACCAAAGGGATATTCCATATCATGGAATATCCTGTCTGCTCAGCAATAAGAAACTGAGAAAAGGGGGAGGAACAGGGCGGGGGCATTCGTGTTTTTTTTTTTACAATGTTTGTCTTCCGGAATAAGGGGTGCGCATACTGAAGCCCTACTTCCCAGGAAGTGGCCGGACATTGCCTGCTGATGGGAAGTAGAGAATCATCTTTTTGCTTTTTGCTTTGCTTCCGCGCACGGCTTTTTGCTTTAGCTACATTAAACTGCCTTTATCTCGACCCACGAGTTTGGGGTTGTTTCTTGCATCTTCCTTTTTTCCCTCCCTGCCTTACTGAAGAGGGGAGTGATAGAGCAGCTCTAGTGGGCACCTGGCCCCCAGCCAGGGTCAACCCACCACAATTGCATGAAAAGGAGCTCAGGTATCGGGTATTTAAAGACCCTTACATGCCAAGATATACTCAAGGAGATTTTAACTAGAACTGTAATTATTAATAGAATCACCATTTATTAACTAATAAACAGGCACAGTGTCTTTAAATTGTCCTTTATATTGTTGGGGGTCCTGTTACATTTTTTTCCAAATCTTCAACCAATAGACCAAATTCAAAAATTATTTAACATCTGAAGTAAAGGTTGATGTGAACACCAGAGGTACCTTATGGAGGGTAAAATATCATCAAGGGATAGAAATCCTCAGATTTTAAGAGCAGAGCCTAAATACTAAGTGAAGGCATTGGGAAGAAATTCCCCTTGCAGGTGAGTTACTGCAGAGTTGTTGAAGGGTCTTGGCCATTGGGCTGAGTTGGTAGGGAGAGTACATGGGACAATTAGTCTAATCCCATCATCTAGTGACCAAAGGGACCAGGGTGGGCTCTGGAGGCACCAGGAGCTTTTCCTTCAGCCTTGCTGGGGACCGCAAGCACCTTTGCTTGTTTTGGCAGCAGTGTATTGCACTAAGCCAATGTAATTTTACCTCAGGCTCCAACATCTTCTTGACACACTGAGCTACCATCTGTAGAGCCTGCTTCTCTGCCAGTGAAGCTAGTTTCAGAGGATGACTGGTATCAGTCATGTTTGAGGAAAAGAAAACTAGCTGCTGGTTGAAAGCCAGACCTCATAACCAGCCTCAGGATCCTGGAGGTGAGAAGAAAATGCCAAAGAGCACCAGCATCTACACATGCTGTATACAAGCTTTTCGTTCAGCAGAATAAAGTTGGAGATACAAATCAAGGAGCCATCTTCTGAGAAGATGGACACCTCTATGCTGAAGCAGGTTTCATGACAGTCTGGGGCCAGACTAAAGAAAACAAGGTTGATGCCTTGTCTACAGCAAAAGAGTAGGTTTGTGGCATGAATGGCATTTCAAGCATTGTGTTTTGGCAATGCCTCCTTTTCTTCAGTGCTGCTTTCCATTGATTGAGGGGAAGAAAAGAACATCACTGGACAAAAAGACAAACATTTCTACTCAGCAAAGAAAAGCTGACTAAGATATTGACCCTAAATTTATCACTCTTCATCTCATCTTTTAAAAATATAAACTAAAAGAACCCTAACCACACACCAAAGTCATAAGGCATTCTCATCCTAGTATCCTAAACATCCTCCTTTGCTTTGTCTTTACACACACTGTCCAAATTACATTATAACATACTCAAGAGGATGCCTCTTTCTGCTGGTGTTTGCTTGCAAAACACTGTCTACAGTCACCAAACTCTTATTATAATAAATAAGAAGTGCATTTTGCATTTCCCAACTCTAAATTAAGTTTAAACCATTGGAGAAGAGCCTAGGAAAGTTTCCAAGAACATGCAACCAAGAGCCAAACTGGATGTATTTCATACACTGTTTGTCTCCTCATCTAGTCATGTTTGTTTCTAATCCAGGTATATTAGTTGGCTCTATACGATAATCAAATTACAAAACCATAGGCAATAGGAATCGATTGTTCAAATCTTCTAAGAGACATGGCTGTGAGTTCCACCGACGTTGGTGCTCATGATCCATTTGTCTCAGTACAATTATTCAGGAACTGAGAAATACTAACATTTGCACATTGTTTTCCTCTGCACACAAACAAATTTTCTTTATTAAGGGCCACAGGTTTGCTCTCACAAAAATCAAGATTGTATAGTTTTCAGACATCTAGCAAAACAGATGCTCGGTAACTGGAAATTATGGTACTGAAGAATTTCTCATTTATGTCTCTCTTTCCTCTATTATTTCTCAGAAATCATGATGAAAGTTAAGCCTGTAAACTCCTCTGATTCAGAAAAACCAAGCTCTACTTCTTTTGTCACTGAAATCAGAAAAGGGAAACATGCTCTAAAATTACTCATGGATTTCATATTCCGCTGAGATTAACATTTAAGTATCTTTCGAATCAGGTTTTGGTTTTCCTCTTAATTTCAAACCATGCCAGGGAACAACTCTCCTCGTTCTAGCTAAGAAACTTGGTGGTACTTCATCTCAAGTCTTGAAAACAGACTTCTGGCTGCAGCTGTAATGATTAAACAGATTCCTCCTACAAGCTCTGAAAGGGTTTGAGGGTGATCAGAAGCAGTTCATGTGTGGGGAGTGCAGTAGCAGGGCAGTGATGGATGACTGGGAGGACGCAAACTTACATCCTGAAGAAGATGTGTATCAACAGCCTAATGTTACTCTGGCACTATTT